AATTTGTCTCGGTGCTGATGATGTGCCCACATAAGGGACACATGCTGTTGCACATGAGATTCTGTTTCTTCTGAGAACCAGAGACCCAACCTAAGCTGTACCATCCACCTCCAACCGGGACCTTCAACAGCTTGGAAAGAGGGCAGTGAAAGTCCAAAGTACTTCAGAGCTGAGCTAAGCAGAAGCAACAAACACCCTCTGGGGTCAAAATGAGCTCTTCTTTCTGTGGCTTCACAGCTCACATGTCAGAAGGGTACACCTTTGACGTCCGACAGACTGGAATTTGACCCTGGCTCCACAGCTCCGGGCCAGGTGTCCTTTGGCAAGCTACTTGACCTTTATCTCTGAGCCGTCTTTTCCACATCTGCACAAGAAGCCTCCAGACACCTGTGTCGTGGGGCTGTGGTGAGACTCAGAAAGCTGTCACACCCTCTCTAACTTGGCGCAGGTGCTCATCCCTAGCCCAGGTCAGAAATAAGCTAACATTTTTCTTTAAACAGAGTGTGAAGCAGGTACCTGAACCTGGATAGGACTTCCCTAATCTTTGGGAGAACTAGTCTACAAATGGACCCCACAAGCTGTGCCAAATACAAATCGTGTTAAGAGTTTGCAGCCGTTCCTGACCTCATCACCTAAACAAAGATGTCCATGCAAGGGCTAAGCATGGCTGGAGGCAGCAGTGGTGAAAGACTGAAGGGCAGGTCTCCAGAGGGAAGGTTCAGACTTGACCCTGCGAGAAAACTTGCTAGTGCCCTGAGGAGACTCAGTGTCCCTGTTTTCCAGACCCACGCCCATTGTTATCCTTTATACGTGTCTGTGTTTCCTGGCTCTGTCCAAGCCTGCAGTTGGAAATGCCAAGAGAAGCTGCTTTGATCAAACCCAGGGACAGGGTGCATCATAAACCCCACGCAATGGTCCTGCGTTTGTGGCTTGTGTAGCCAACGTTTGCAGAGTCCTGGGGCTTGAAGTTTTCAAAAAGTGTCAGAAAAGCCGTGAACTGAAGTAGGGGTAAGGGTGGGTCTGGTGAGAGGCCGCACCAGACCCTGTGATAACCAGGACGATCTCCTTGCATCCCTTCCCACAAGGAAGCTGGGTTGACCTTCCCTGCAGAGACAGCCAACGGAGTTCCCACAGAGGCTGCGGGCTTATTTGAAGGTGACACTTCCATAATTTCACTCTCACTTCCAGCTAGGACAGATGTGACAGTAAGATCCCCATTAGGGACCTTGTCCTCCGATTTCAAGAAAAAAGCCCACTATCTTAACTCAGAGAATTGCAGGTGTTTTAAAAATTAAAAAAAAAAAAAAATATCCTCCAGTGATGGGCTGGGGCTTGCCTGCTTAATACTTCAAAATAAAGACCAATTAAAGGTTTACCCTGGGCCGTTTATCATGTCAGATTATGGAGTTCCTTCCCAGAGCTTCCTTCTGGGGCTAATAAATGCCCCCCAGAACAGCAAGTCTCCTGTCTTGTCAGCGATGACTCAGTCCCTTTGCCCTTAGATCTTGTCATCAGCATAGCCCCGTGAGTGGCCCATCCGGTGAGGAATTCTGTTTTATCTCGGTATTTAGAGAATCCCATTAGGACCCAGCATCTGAGACTGCAGGACTTCCATCAAGGCCTCATAGCGTCTCTGGAGCTGTAGATACATCCTGAGGTTATTTGATAGTTGGGCCTCCCCGCGCTTCACAATTTGCTGTGATTTGTGGTCACTGTGCTCTGGGCTTCAGCCCGCCTTGGACATTCCCATCCTCAGATGCTGTGGACAAAAGCTCATGGATGACTGATGGGCCAGAGGCTTCCTTCCCATCCAGATATTTTGTCAACTCCTGGCATGGGGAATCACACACGAGGGACACACAAGGGAACAAACACCCAGCAGCCTCCAGACAGGCCACTGCACAGGAGCTTTGGAGAGAGTCTCCTAGGCCTGATAGATGTATTTGAAAACTCCAAGTATTTCTAAATAAGTTGGCATGAAGTTAAGGATCAAGTGATATTTATGTGTTTCTTATTTTTTGGTCCCCAAATTTACATTTCGGTGTGGTAAGGTTGCTGAACAAATTAATATTTGCATACAGAGATGCAGGCGGCGCAGGAGGTGAACAGCTGTGAACCTTTGGAAATACTTGGAGCTCCCTCTCTGGTTAGCTCCTGCATTTTTGCTTTTTATTCCCCAAGCAGACACTCACTCTGACCCAGATCACTTGGTGATTAGGGTCAATTCATGTTTAAGCTTTGAAGATTAGAGACACCAGAAATGGCCACCACTTCCCTTTCTATTTTCTTTTAAAAACTTTAAACTTTAGAAACTAAAATCTTGAAAAAAATGCGTAATATTCTGAGTTCACTAAAGGAATTTACCCACATTTCTGCCATGTTAAATGTTAGCAAAGTTTATGTTGGACTGTCATATTTCTTTACTTTATTCACCAGCATACAAGACGTCGATCTCAACATCTGGTTTTTAATAACCCTCGACATCTGGGAGCTCCTTTTTATTCCTATGGTGGACGAGGCACAGTAGTGATATTGGCAGTGTGTATTTTCAAGCTACAATTCCTGTCTGTTTCAATCATAATTAATTACCACTTTTTAATATATTTAATTTGCTGAAAGTGATTTGCATTAGACCACATTTCACTGTTAAGAAAATAGTGGTAGATTTTGGTGGCAGTGGCTTTTCTATTTTCTTTCTTCTTTTTTAAAATTTAAAGCCCTCTTTGAATGGATTTGAAACAAACTGAATGTATACATGCTATTGGGTTTTAAATGAAAAATGAAATAAACCATTCTGCAAGGAAAGTGATTTTACAGCCATTTAGCAGCAGTCAGCAGGGGCTGTGGGCTGCATTTTAGGGAAATCCTCCTATTTTGTTTTGTGACTAGCAAATCACAGCATCTCTCTGTGCCTGGAGTTTTCCTCCAGCAGTGACTTTGGGAGTCAAGAACCTTATGATGAAAGCTAGGGCCTCCATCCGGAGAAATATGCTTACACACATACCCCAACGTTCTGCATTGAATTTCAAGGGGTTATTAGACCCCTTGAAATCTATTGTGGATACCTGAGGTTCCCAGGTTGTAGACTCTCCTTCTTCATTAGCATGAAAAGGGACATCAGCTTTGCTTTTCTCCAGGAGCTGAAAGTTTAATGAATGTAAATATATATATATCTCAAGTTATGTAGGGGAGAGGCAGGTTTATTGCCAGGAGCAATTATTAGACTGTGTGGTGATAAATAAACACAGGTAAATTTATAGGAGAAGACCCAGATTAATGATCAATTGTACCTTATTTTTGCCAGAATATTCCTATCTAAACTGTCAAGTGCAAATTCATACTGAGTTGTCTGATTCAAACTGTGGAAATCACTTGATTGCCTTATGTCAAGTGGGGCTCCTTATCCCTTTGTGGGCCATAGACCCCTTTGAACTCTCTGAACCTCTTCTCAGAATAATTTTTTTTTTTAAAGATTTTATTTTTTTTCCTTTTTCTCCCCAAAGCCTCCCGGTACATAGTTGTATATTCTTTGTTGTGGGTCCTTCTAGTTGTGGCATGTGGGACGCTGCCTCAGCGTGGTTTGATGAGCAATGCCATGTCCTCGCCCAGGATTCGAACCGACGAAACACTGGGCCGCCTGCAGCAGAGCGCTCAAACTTAACCACTCGGCCACGGGGCCAGCCCCTCAGAATAATATTTTTAGATGTGTAAAATGAAATACACAGAAATACAAAGGAAACAAATTATTTAAAAACTCAGTTCAGAGGCCACAGATCTAAATCCTTGACTAGATGAAAATTATCTTGGCCTATTGGCAAGATTAGGTTGAACTGTATGAAATTGCTGTTTCCTAGAACAAAAATGGTCAAATAATGGCATTTTCATATGGTTCAACCTAATATTACAACAATTTAAGCAATAGGGTCCAAATAGTAAGGAAATGTTCCAATATTTTTATTTTCCTGTTCCTGATTTTCAAAACAAAGAAGCAAATCATGGCAAAACCTGGTTTCACTGGGGATTTATTAAAAGACACAGCTTCCAAAGTATGTGTGAGACCAGGCTATGAACTACTGCCTTCTACACTTCGTTTCGATACTTGCAGTAAGCAGTGAGAATTCTTGTTCAAAACTGGAGCTTGTGATGGTAGATATACATCTGTCTTCAAAGATTCGATTTCCTTGCCCATCATCCAGTTTACTGAGTGAGGAAAATGGCTAGATCCATTCTGGAAATGTTTTCAACAACATGAATTCGTACCAAATAAGTTTCAGTTTATCCACAGTTGAACACAATTTTAAGTTAAACAAAACTTCCTTTCTACAAGCATTCTACTGAATTGGAAGTTTACTCTCTTTTCTTTGAAACTTATTTGATTGCAAATGTATAATCATTCCGTGGCGTGCACATCCTCTTTTATGCTGAGAACAAAATAGAACCTGACAAATCGAGAAGATCACAGACTGTTTGAGCCTTTGTGAAATAACCGATGTGAATTATCGCATGCTACAAAAGTTTGTTCCACCCAAATAGATGGGGTTGTTTTTTTTTTAATTCTTCTTCAGCCTTTATTGATACTTTAAGCTTAAGAGAAATTAAGCATATTTGATTACTATAATTACTTCTCTGCTTACTTAAAAGGTTTAATCTACTTCTTAGGCATATGCAACTCGGATTGCATGCCTTCCAAAAAAATAATCATCTGCTAATGTAGACTAATTTTAATCTTTTAATCCAATCTTGACACAGAGTCAGAGCTGGGTGGGTGGAATGTTTTTGAGGGGGGGTTGCCATAGATGCAAAACTCAGTTATATATGTGACAAGTCGGTGATGTGGAACTTAAATTACTATGGATTTTTTTTCGTCACTCTTTAAGATTAAAAAGCAAAGTGAAGATCAGTGTGCCTTTTCAGTGCATCGCGGTGTAACTAACGTTCTCTTCTTTCATTCCGGTGCTCCCCTCCTCTCCGTGCACCTCCCTACCCCGGGCCGGCCACAGGATGACGAGGAGGGCATATGGGCATAGCCGGGCCTGTAAACCAAAGTTCCAGTTTTGTTTTGAGGGGTGAGAAACCATCTTTTATATCATTTTTCTTTGAAAAATTGCATTCTAGTGTTGTATTGTGTGCGTGCTCAATTGTGTTCGCTGATGTTTGTGACTGTGCCCTGTGTTTGCTTCTGTGTACTGTGACCTTCCCCAAGAGCCCCCTGCTTCCTACTTCCCCTCCCCGAAACCACATTATTGCTCTGCCTTGTTGGGGCTGGGTTGAGCACGATTCAAATGTTTCTGTGTTATTTACAATATAAACTATGCCCTCGCTAGGATTTATACATACTTTTAAGGCATGATTGTAGACTCAGAAACTGTCACACTTCTCCAGTCGTGGTTTTCAGCTGACTGCTTGCTTTTATCAGATATGCCAGTGTGGTGTGACTCTCATGTCCTTCTAGTTGTGTCAGATGTTTGGCAAGTAATAAGGAAAATAAAACTATGTGTCTTCATGGAACCGAAACTCTCATCTCTAAGAAGCCTGTTTAATGGATTGTACTGTCTCTTCTATGGCAGTTCTGAAGAAAACACAAGGATCAAGCCATAGTGATGGTGAATGGGTAACTGTATCTCTTTAAATGAGTTAGAATAGAAATATTAATATTGGCTAGTCTCATTAGTGACACTGTACCTGTTGCTTTTTTATAATTGTGATTCTGTGGAACTTTGCATTATAAATTCCATGCATTGCATTTTTCAGAGGGTTTTGCTCTTTTAAAGGTTGACTTTTAGCTACTAAGAACCTACCCTTTATTTCCATTCTATCTGCATTATAGTGGAATAGTGGTATATGTCATTGCCACACAGTTATAAATGGAACGTTGAACTTTGGTGACTTTTGCTGCTGGGACTCGCATCTCTTCAGGGTACGCCAGGCTATTGAACTTTAGCAACAATTCACAAACTCCCTGGAGTTGAATACACCTGTGGTGACATGAAATATGGTGTTCAATTTGATGACATCGCATGTGCCATTTTGTTCAGAACAAGGAATATGGTAGGTTTTGTGCTGTGGTGATTTTGTATGGTCAAAAAATGCTCGATGTGCAGTTCTTTATCTGGGACAAACATGAAATGTCACAATGCTGGAGAATCACCAGGTCTGTGATTGGAGAGGCAATTTTGGGGATTGCCAAATTAGCAGGTGTGCCCTTCCTCAAGTCTTGCCTCCATTTTCTATGGCAGTGGTGCTTCAGGTGAATTTTAAGACAATAACTGGTGTGTTTCACCCGTGGGTGACAGTTTCGTTGGTGTGTTTCACTGCTTGGTTGAACTTCTTGTAGGTGGCACCAATGAGTCAGGTTGCTTTCTCTGGTCCTGCAGGGAAAACAGAGGGGGTAGATTTTCAGACACAGCATCTTTCCGCGTAGTAAAGATGTAACACCTCCTGGATCCATTTGCTGCCGGTAAAACCTGCTTCCTGATTACATGAGACTCTTTATCTCCTCTCTTCTCCCTTTCGTGGGTGACAGGGAAAACAGCACTGGAGTTAACTCTTCCAGATGCAAAGTGGTGCCAAAGGGAAGCTTGTTGGTGTGAGGAGGTGGGGAAACCGGAAAAATTCTTAACGTTCTGTGTGAGTGACTCTCTTCCTATCTGGGGAAAACTTCAAGAGACATGCTGCCTTTACTCATACAGAAAAGCTAATAAAAGCATAAATTGACCTAAAACAACATTAAATGGGAAGTAAAGGTTTTATAATGTTAAAAGGCAAACATATGAGACCACAACATGCATGGAATAGGTAGGCAGAGGAAGGTTCTAAGAGTTTGGGGCTTGTCTTGAGAAGCCTGGGTCCTCCGTGGGGCTCTTCTGTGAAGCTGCTGTTTCTGCCATGTAAGTGTTAAGGTGCTGGGCTGCGTTTGTGTCTCCTCCTGAATAATAAAGATTTTATTGCTCTTTCACAAGATTCATGACATCCACCCTGCCATCCCCTGTGATAGGAACCTTGTTGTCGTCCTCAGGGTAGAATTGGTGCCAAGGCCCGTAGGAAACCTTGCTTTGCTCAAAGCAAATGGAGACAATGGTATTAAACCCCTACCCCCTTTATTCCTTCATGAATTTCCCCCAACACCATGTGCCCCAGAAAACAAATGTCTTCTGAAAATTAGTCAATATATAATCCTACTTTAATATGTTGTAATAAATTTTATAGGCTTCTAAGGAAAAATACTTATCTTTCTTTATGACTCCTTTAAACAAGTTTGCTCAGATATCCTCAGGCTTTTAAAACCATATCTTAAGGATTTAAATAATGAGATACTGGGAAAACCTATTTTTGAACAGCCGTTGCATGTTTTGAGTCGCGTTATAATCTGTAGGGCCTAAGGAGACATTAAATTTATAACTAAAGATGGATAATTGTGGCACATTAAAAATTAACTGTTTTGAATATTTTGATTTATGGCCCTTATAAAAGAAACATTACAAGAAGTTATTTTACTAGGCATCAGTAATATGCTTATAATAGCATCAGAAGGCCTTGACTTGAATCTGCTGTTTTGGTGCTGAAATGAATCATTATTTAAGAAAAGTCGCTCCAAAAATTACAACGAATTGGAATTAACGTAACAACCCTGGCAGCTCCTCCTCTTTTTGCCACTTCTAGATACTAGCCCAGGCCTGGTTTATTTGTCTCACCGTGATCATTCATGGGTGGTGTTTTCTGAGAGCAAAATGAACTGGGGAAAGTTTGCTTTTCTAAAGAGTTTTAGCAGCCCCTTGAGCTAGTCTTTTCCCCCTTAAACCTCACACCCAGGCCCGACATTAGCAGCATGTGACCTACATAGTCTACAGAACCCCAAGCTTAAAAGGGCTCCACTCTTGGTTTAATGCTCCACTGTCACCGTCTTGAAATTCTTAATAATTTTTGAACAAGGGCCCCTACACTTTCATTTTGCACTGGGCCTCACAAAGTGTGTAGTTGATGCTGCTCAGATCCACCGTATATTCCCGTACTCTGTCTCCAACTTCTCTCTACTCCCCTCCCTTTTGGCTCATCCCCACTCCTATTTGCTTCTGCCTAGAATTTACCTTTGGTCTGCCTTTTTGTTCTGGTTTTCTTGCAGAGACTCCATGGGATCACATTTCCAGCAAATTGTTGCCCTCATGGGCGTCCCTGCAATGCATATTCACCCACTGTCCTCTCACTCCCCACTTTTGATTGTGAAAATGTGCTCCTGGAGCCCTCACTGCATTTTCTGTCTTGCTTTGCAAAATACAGGAAAACAGCTGCTTAATTCTCCATTACTTGCCTTTGGAAAAATCCACTCGATGTGGCAAAATGGAAGTGCTTTCCTTGGACCCCCAAGAGGCACTTTGGTTTGTGAACATTCAGTGAGGTGGGGCAGTTAAGGACCAAATCAAGGCACTTTGTGAGATCTAGTGCCACATCTGCCTTGACATGTGAATGTTTGAGCTTTTACTGTGAACTCTTGTAATTGAGCAGACATAGAACACAGGATCATTTTTATTTCTTTAAACCACTAGAAAGGAATAAGTCTCTTTAGATTGAAAACATATGCAAATTTTTAGGACTTGATTCATAAAAATACAGATGTGGGCATTAACAAGTTTGGCACAAGGCTCTGATCCTAGTAGATGCATCCTGTTCAAAATGAAGAATTGTAGCTGTATGCCACCAGCACGTGAACAGTGTTATGGTGAGTGCAAGTATGAATCACAGAGCACTTAGACATGAGAAAGGGGATTTTTACACATAGAAGCAGTGCTCAAAGGCCAGTAGAAATCTCTGGCATGCCTCATCTCAGGAAGAAAGAGGAAGGAGATATTTTATTGTGGCTAGAAAGTTTATACCTTCCTTGCCTTCTCTTAGCAGAAAGGTCTGGACATGAGGCCTTGCTCTTCCTGGGGCAAGAGAAATTCAGAGGCTGGGGAAGAAGTCGTGGAAGGAGCCCTGGGTTTTCATCCTCCTCAACTGAAGTCCTGGTTTCTCTGCAAAGTGGAGGTTTTATTTTACACTTCCTGCACAGGGCTACCAACTAGTGTTTTTAATTCAACCTATGTCTCCCGTGACTGAGGATCTGATGCATCTCCTCCTTGTGCCATTGGCTACTAAGACTTTACTTTCATTCATTCATTTATCCATTCATTCGATCATTTTTCACTTATTCATCCATTCTTTCATCCAATGGTTAAATTCTTGGTTAGATGCTGAGAAAACAATGAGGAGTAAGTTAGACATGGTTGCTACCCTGTGGATCTTACATCTAGTTGAGGGAAACAGACCACAAAGAATTAGACATATGAATGGAAACCTTATACATTTTGATCATTGCTTTGATGGAAACTATGAAGAAACAAAGATTAACAAGAGGAACCTGCTTGTTAATCTGCTTCAGAAAGGATGTTCAGCAAGCATCTCTCCATGGAAGTAAGTTTTGTACCAAGTCTTAAAAGGAGGGGAGTCAGGAGTATCCGTGCTAGGACCGTGTTTGGGAGGTGGGTCTCAGGCAGGTGTGCAAAGGACTGAAGATAGAAAGAGCTTTATGGGCTGAAAGAGCTTGAAGACCATAACTCTGGGTGGAGAAGAAGACAGTGAGATGAAGATGAAGAAGTGAGAAAGGGCCAGATCATGTAGGGCCTTTTAGGCCAAGGTAGAGAGTTTCATTTTAACCCTAGGAAAAATGAGAAGAAAATTAGAGGATCTTAAGTAGGGACAAGATATGATTCAATTCATGTTATAGAACAACCCTGGCTGCTGTGAAGAAGGTAAATTCTTATGGAAGGAGGACCAGAAGTAGGGGCTTTTCCATCATTTGTGAGAGAATTGATGGTGCTGACCCAGGGGAGCAGTGGGGGAGATACAGACAAGTGGGTAAATTGGAGATGAGCCTGGGAGGTGAAACCAGTAGGACTTGGATTGTGAGGTAAGAGAAAGCTCTAAATCGAGAATGCCTCTAGATTTCTGCCTTGGATGTCAAAGCTGGGGCAAGCCATTGTTGGAGGGTGGGGGCTGAGTAGGAATCCAGAGTCCTGTTTTCCCCAGAAGTCTA